CCTTCTTGCGCTCGCGACAGCGTCACTGCACCGACATGGGTGTCGCCGTCGTGTCGCTCCGGCTGGCGCCGACATCGTAGCAGGGGGCACTTTTCACTTGCTGGCGCGGCAGCATCCGACCTACCGGCGACACTTCTGTTTGAGTCAACGCAGCGCTGACTTTCACGTTGTCTGTACACCTCATCATCGTCCCAAGCACCGCGTGTGTATGACACTGCTACTGTTCACGGACCTACCAGTGGTGCCCGCGATGCAACCAAGTGCTGTTGGCATCATTGACGTCGACGTCCATGGGGTCCATATCATCTATCAAGGCCGTGAGCAGTCGCCGTGGGTTCAGTAGCACTGCAGTTCGTGAGGTCTACTTTGTCTATCAAAAGATATTGACTTGCAAGCCGTGCACGTGTGTCTTGGACTTGAGACGTCGTTCGAACGACTACTTTTCCAGATGATAATGTCATCGCGCTCGCATCGAGTATTACTAGTGCAGCCCCCTGTGTACTTGCCGACTTGAGCCGTTGGAAACTGTACGGCGCTAAATTCATATCTGCCAGAGCATTCAATGTTGCTGGCAAATATTCGATCACAACTGGTCTCTTCTTTGCGACCAACGCAGCTATAATGCACGTACGACCGTCATGAGCTAACATGGGCGGGCCGTTATAAACTACATCGCGGGGCCGATGCCGTGCCTTACATGCTCGCATCGATTGACTCCAGTGCATGACAGTGATACTGTCAGCAAGCAGATTTTGGCAACCAGCCAAGTTGGGGTACGCTTTTTTCGACGCCTTGGTCGGCGTTCATGTTATTTTGTCGTCAACGTTTAGTTTACCTATATCATTTTGACATGTAGCCCAATCATGTTCTACGTAGCTTCGCCGTTAAAAGTTAACAAAAGTCAGGCTTTGGAGGGTTAAAGTATCTACAATCGGACAATTCGCAAGCGGGGGTGCTGAGACGTCAGCTCTGTCAAAAGTCCACCGCGGGCGTGTACTGTTTGCAGCCAGCACATGCCCATGTCCATGGCCTTGAACAAAACCTTGAACGGAGGCTTCAGCAGCGATGAATCGATGGTCCGCCACACCTCGTGCCGGTAAAAAGCAAGCAAGACGGAGGCGAGCGTCGAAGGCAGCGTCAACCAGTCGATATCCAGAGACATTTCGGTAAACAGGCTGCTGGGCTCACTGAGAAACCGAGCCGCGAACGGCCAACTCGACGCGCCGACGACAGATGTCGGTACCTTGTACGTTCGCTGGGTGGACGTGCGGCAGCAAGCAAGCGCTGCCTCCATGACGAGAGCCTCAGAAGTCAAATACATGTCGAAGCCAACGGTTCCCGGCACGGGTGATGCAGACCGCACGTCGTTGATAGCAGCGTCAATGTCTTTGATCTGGGCGTATAAATCAGCATCCTTGTGGTCGTTTCCGTCCTTCGAGTCTCGGGCAATATAGCGGGGAACAACAGCCACGACCATGCCGGTCCAGTCACCAACACTCGCCAGCAACGATTCAAGTGTCATGCCAACATCGGCAGGCGCGCAGAGCACCACAGTAGAATGGGTGTCGTCATCGGTGGAAACGAACTCAGTGACGGCACTGTGGCATGTACAGTTGAGAGTCTCGAGCCGCGCTACGATGTCGGTGCGGGTCGTGTGATCGAGACGTTCGCTAATGCAGACGAGCGTTCGAGCCGGAGGGTCGTGTCGACGGCAACACACGCGCGCCGACGATGAATCGATGACGACGGTTTGAATGAGATCGAGGCACGCTTCACAGTAGACGAGGTCCGTGGGCGCTTCGCAGCTGGGCTCTTCGACGTCTTCCTCGACGATTGGCTCGCCACATACCATGCCATCATCGATGGCAATGGCTGGTGCATCGTTCGGCGACTGTGGCACGCCCATATCAAGCACCGACGGGTCCAAAGGGACGGGAGACGCTGCAATGCAATTGGGACAGACCGAGGATGCGCAGTCCGGTGCTAAGAGTTGCACTGCCAA